AATTAATGGATTTGTTTGAACTCTATAATTTTTATACTGAAATTTTATTTTTTAATAAATATATACAACAATATACACACATATCATACACACATATCATAAATATATATTTTCTATATTTAATAATTGTGTTTTGCATATTTGTTATACATATATTGGCAATGGAAATAAACTTGTGAATTAAATGCAAATAAAAAATTTGAATCCTTTTCTTATTGTATTTATTAATTTGCATAAGTTATTGCATTTGTTTTTCTTTATATTATATTATATTATAGTTTTATTTTATTTTATGCTTATTATTTTAAACTGTCCACGCTGCACACTTAACATCATGGCCGGTCATTTCACTTCAGATTAAAGGTGCCGACAGAGAGTGAAGCTACTGTACCTTTGTGACGTGACGCCCTGAGGCCGCCGGTCACAAGATTTAACTGGATCAATTCGGAGCATTTCTGGTTTCTGCGTTCATCCGTTAGAAGGACGAGAGCGCAGGCGAGCTACGGGTAACGCGAACAGCGTGCACAATTGCGCGAATTTCCTTTTTCTTCTTTACTGTCGTTTCGAGTTTAGCTTCCACAATATTAAAACGGCGAAATTGACAGCTGCCGCTAGATTTGTGTATCACCGCCTGCCACGACGACCAACGACGACTAGGTACGCGGAGGATGCCGCCACCGGGTGCAAGGAATTATTAGATCATATCGCCTTAAGTAGTTGCCGAATTACTCCCTCTCTGCATACTGATTGCATCCCGTATTGTAGAGCGATTTTCAGGAGTCGACTGGACTGACCCATGCAACGCGAGGATCGAAGAGCGAGCAAAAGGGGAGGCGCCACTCCTCGCGAAATAGCGAGGAGACTCTATATAAATGAAAGGCGAGCCGAAGAGCCGAGGACGAGTACTTGAGCCGGAAGAGACAGCCACCTCTCACCGGAAGGATCGATGAAGGATCTTCGGAAGTCGCAGGCTCGGCCAAGAAAGATCGCCACCTTCGAATTTCCCGCGGGGTCAGCGGAACGCGGGCCATCTAGGATCCGTGTCTAAAAATAAAGGATCTAGTGGCTGATCACGCCGCGGCGCTGATCGATACGCAGAGAGGGGATGACGACCACAATGTCGCAAGAGTTCGCGAAGGCGAATCACTTTTTTCTATGCGAAGCTTTTGTAAGTGGACGCAGGAGCCAGCTATCATAAGCCACGAGAAGAAACAGAAGATCGAGGGAAAGGAGTTGCCGTCTGATGAGGCGAACGTTCCGATTGTAAAGTCGTCGATTTCGTCCGCCCGAGGGATCGGCTGGAGAAAACTTTCGCGGGAAAGCGTTTCCCGCGAAAATATTGCGACATCGCCATTGTCTATTCGATGAGCCGGTCACGTGCCCCTCTCGTGATCCTTGTCGAGTCGTTGCGGTAATTTTCTCTCGTCCTCGTCATGCACGAAAGTCAAGATAATTATAGTTTTTTTGGTGCGATTCTCGTTTGTATGGTTGTCGCGCATGGAATGTACTGTTGTAGAGTGAGATGGCTGTGTCATTCGCGGGGTGTATCAGATCACGTGTTGCGAATTAAATCGGCGTCTGGTGTGAGCTCGAACCACCCGGCGGAAGCCGGTAGTTCGGACACGTCGTTGCCGTATGTATTCCCGACTGTATTGCATTGCTGCCTTATTCCTTTAACGTGAGGATTTCTGTACCTTTTATCGTTGCGCGATTCGAGAGATATATTATATCACGAAAAGGCGATCGAAATAAGCGCCTGTAGAGATTCAAGCCGACATTAAAGATATTTCTGGTGTTGCTCTAATTAATTCGTGTCACATTATTTGATCCCTTCTCTCTCGCGTCCCGTCCCGCGAGCTCCCTCCCTCTATCATCAAATCGGATCATAGAATAGCGTATGTGAATTCTAAATTTTATTTTAAACGGACGATCTTGAGATTTTCTTTGTGTAATTGAGTGGCACGTGCCTGGCGCCCAACCTCCCGTAAGTTGCATTGTAAAGGACTATTCTCAGGTGCGGCGGTCGCAACTTATACTGTGGCTTGGCCGTCAAATCTCGAGCGGTAGTGAAGGAACTGTAGACGTCGCCTTCGAAATCGAGACGAAAAGGGCAACTAATTCCGAGCACTGTATTATAGTACAACAATAATATAATAGTATTATATTAATTTTTGCTTTTATGTTAAAAAAGATAAATAGCGAAAAAAAAATAAATAATAATAAATTTAAAATCATTAAAATTAAAGAAAATATATTAATAAATACGACAAACATATTAATAAATTGGTAATATAATTATGTAAAATAAAGTTTTATAAATATACACATTTTATTACCTTTAAAACGCTTATGTTTTTAAATTATAATATTACAATTTAATGTAGTTAATGTAGTTAATGTATTTGAAAATAAGTGGAAATAGCTAAAGATGGCGGACCAATCAAAAGTGGCTTTTTCATGACCAATTTTTTATTGTAGTGTCTCTATCGTTCGGATGCTTTCTTTCTCTAATCTCACACTTGTACACAGATGTCTATACTAAACTAGATTGCTAACTAGGACTTTGGATTTGTATTATATGCGGTTTCCGGTTGTATGCGAGAAAATGACGGCAGTACTGTGTATGTGACGTGATACTTGTTTGAATTTTTCAGCATCAGTATGTATATGACCATAAAATTTTTCTAAAAATGCCAGTATCTTGTTGCATCAAAAAGTGTCGTAATAAAAAAAAAGATAGTGTTAGTCTATTTAAGTGAGTTTTACATTTATAATAAATATATAAATGTTTTATAAAATATAAATAGCCGCAAGAAATTGACCAATCATAGTCAATTATTCTTTTCATATTCGATAATTGATCAATTTCTTACTTTTTAAAGCTTAAATCACCTATTGTGGACACTAAAGCAACACTAAATCATAATCGATTTATAGAAGAATAATCGATTGTGATTGGCCAATTTCTTAAGTCTTAAAGTTTTATTGTAGACACCACTTAAACCAATCCTAAGTTTCGATCCACAATAGGTATTTAAGCTTTAAGCTGTAAGAAATTGACCAATTATAATCGAATATGAAAAGAATAATCAATTATGATTGGACACTAAGAGTGCGCTACAAATGCTTCGAATTGTTTGGAACGTCATTTTATTCGGCCTTCAAAGCGTCCCAATAGCACATATCTATGACGTCATTAATATACGTCATAGATTTTCACTTCCAACTCGCTCCCAATACTATTGCTTGGAGAAGTAGTATGATTGGGTACATCCAGAAGCACAACGAGCGCAGTGAGCACTCAGTGATTTTACGATATGATTGGTGCCTTTAGATCTTCGTTAAATCTATGTGTAGATAACGAAGTGTAGATTTAACGACGATATTAGAAACCAATCATGGTGGAGAATCACTGCGCTCGTTGCGCTTCTGGATACCCATTGAAACGTACAATTTGAATGTACAAAATGCGGGAAAGGTTAACGAAAGTGTATATTGTGGTAAATAGTGTGTGGCAATCTGATTTATTTTTGCGTATTGTAACGCATGTTTCGTTTCCGTTATTGTACTAATTTTTCAAAATTATTTTTATTGTGTATTGCATCAAGTATTTAGAGATAAAATGCCAATCATAAAATTAGGAAGGAGATATAATAAAGGAATAATTTATAACATAGAAATTTCTGAAGAGGATGCTGTTAAGGCTAATCAAAATAATGTTATAATGATCTATAATGATTTACATGTAATTTTATTTTAAATAAGTTAAGGCAGACTATGGAGATCTCTATCGGAGAATACCCAAATAAGAAGGGAGGGTGTGCGTCACGGTGGAACCCGATCACGAACCATGAAAACTCGTAATTATTTTGCGAAAAAATACTACCTTAGCCAGGAATCGAACCTGGATCTCCTGCTTACCGGGCAGGCATCTTATCTCTTCGACTACCGAGGAATGTGATGATATTTATCGCAAATAATGTGTTTAGAATCACACGTCACAATACAATGATACACATATATACGTATATTACAATATACATATGTACATGTATTCTCTCGAATCCCTAATTCCTTTTCACCCATATTACGGCCAAAATATTGCGAGAAAAGCTATATAATTGTGATATTTATAATCAGAATATTTGCCTGACGAAAGCTATAGAGCGATTTTTGTAAGAAAATGTCTAAAGATAAATAATTCATTTATGCGTAAATAGATTTGCACTATAGAACAATAAAGTGCAAATATTTTCATCTATTGTAAATTTTTTTAAGAACCAAATTGCAAAATTCGGCTTTGTAGCAAGAGTCATAATTTTATAAAAAATACGTAGAAAAAAGCTCGTGGCAAAATATTGCTTCTATGAGATATATGGGTGTACTCAAATATATATCTGCACTGTAAATAAGGAGTAGATGGTTACATTTATTTTAATTATTTAAAAGTTAAATTGCAAAATTGGCTCTGTAGAAATAGCTTGGTAATTGTAAAAGAAATTATCTTAACAAAGTTTCATGACGAAACATCGTTTCTATAAGACAAAATATAATTAAGTACAAATACATATCTGCACTGTAAATAAGGAGTAGATAATCATTTTAGATCAAGCGGAATTAGGCTGGTGTCCCATGGCGCGGAAATCCACAGCGGAATGGAACGCGCAAACCAATCACAGCGAAAAAACCAAAAGAAAACTCGTTCATTCTGTTCGTTCTTTTGCTGTGATTG